AGTGCTAATGTGTTTTTGATATGTTTCTTTCGCGTGGAAACATAACTATTCAGGTTAAGGAATTTCGTGAGTATTAATCAGAAATTTATAAATATATAGTTCACTAAGTTTAGAAGTCTAAAGTAAGATTTCTTTAAGTCTTCATTATTAATAATTCACGAGACGAAATTGAAGATGACTAGAGTTACATCTTTAAAAGCATTTGCGAAGTCCATCAACTGCGAGACAAGTATAATATTTTTATTCATGAATAAATAACGAACCAAAAACAAAACGAATGCTAAAATTTGATTTTTTTATAGTAGAAAAATTTTGTCAATGAATCATATTTTTCCGTAGAGAGTTTCTCTACCATGGCAAGGAGATATCATAGCGATGTATTGATTGATTACATAGATACACTGTTCGAATACTAGGGTGTGGGTGTGGGTGTGGGTGTGGACTTGAGCGTTGCTATGGATTATTACACCCACACCCACCCACACCCACACCCACCCACACCCACACCAACACCCACCCACACCCACATCCACACCCACCCACACCCACACCCACACCCACACCCACTCACACCCACACCAACACACAGCCACACCTACACCCCACACCCACACCCACACCCCACCCTTGATAAACAAGACCAGAGAGAAAGAATCAGGCGTTTCTGAACATTTAAAGAGTTACTACATAGAAATACTTTTCTTTTTTGATATTTTTTCACTCTAGAAAAAGTAATGAGTTCAGGATATCCTAGATTTATTTCGTTTTCTATAACAATTGTTCATTCACCATTTTCTTGTCTACACGCGTTTAAGTATAAACAATCAACAAAACATAAAAAACTAATGTTCTTTTTTTTTTATGCGACTTTCTTTCTGGCTCATTTCTTGACTATTTATTAGTCAAAAACATACCGATTTCAAACTTAGGCGAGGCGGGTCCAGAAATACATGACTTTCTTGAAGTTTCAGAATTTCAAAAAAATAATACAATAAATGGTGATGATAAAAGATAAAATGAATAAAAGTAAAGGATTAAGTTCGATTGTTAATAAACTATGATCTTCACAACATGATATCTAAAAATAGTCTGCAATAGTACCCAAAAGTTCCTGTGACATATCTGTACCAGGATACTTTTCACTCAGTATATTTAAAGTTCCTAGATTTTTGCCAGATTTATTCTACTTTTAAGAAACAATTCTAAAACAACGATTTTTCAACAAAAGCAACGATCAATTGAAGAATTACATAAGTGAAGATTTCATTACTGACGAATAATTTTCGATCAAAACTATTCTCTTACTTAAAACAGCTTCGCAGTGCTCATTAGGTCATCTGTTTGATGGATAAATTGATGATTGAACGGCCCTAAAATATCATGGATATTTCGTCGTTCATCAATTAGAATCCGAATTCGACATATGTATCATAGAAGCTTTTTTTTTGATAAATTCTTTATTAGATTGGAGATTTAAATAGTCAAGTGCAAGAGCAAAGTTTGGCTAAGCTAATTCAAGATTGATGCCAATCTTACGTAGGTTTATGATCAATATTTAAATAAACAATTCGCTTATGAAATATTTTTTGTACTGAACTTCAGAAGGAAAAGAGTATTTGAAAAACAGCCGACAATTGTGGATAGTGAGAACGTTCAAAAAATACGATTTTTATCTGGAAGTCCTTAATAGATGTTCATTGATATCGTTTGTATTTGTAGGTGATGAGCTTGATTCAACCTATTATCATGATCGAGGAATTGCACTTAATGCCCTTCGTTGTCATTTGCAATTACTAAACTATTTATCATTAACATCGTCTGGTAGATTGTATTTTATTAAAAATAATATTATTGATAAAGTGATAAGCATCCTTGAACGAAATGTATTAATTGATAATGCATACGAAAATGAGGAACTTTATCATGCTGATGTAGGTATTATTGCATATACTTTAATGTTATTGTATAATTTGGCTTATGAAAAACCTATATTTTCAATACTGAAACAAAAAGATTTGGAAAGTATCATTAGTAAATTAGAATCTTCGAAAGATATTACTATACAATATGCAAGTAAAACTTTATCAACAATTTTAATTAAAGATCAAATACAAGAAGAAAATGAACCAATGAAATTGAAACAAAAGTATGCTGAATATCTTGAAAAAAATATCATTGAACCGAAGCGTACAATTAAGTCAGGCGTTGCAAGAACTATGACAGGTAACATCTCTTGATTCTGTCTATATCATAAATAGAGTAATTTCTTTTATATTTAGAACGAGATGATAATGTAAAACTTCGAATTTTAGATGAAACATTTTTAACACGTTTAAGTCGAGATATTGAAGATTTATCAACCAATGAATATCCATCAAATGCAATGAAGTATAAAAATACTGGACGACGTGTTCGTGTTGTTTCAAAACAGGAAACAAAAGAAGTTGAATCAATATTAGATCCAATATTAGAATGTTTAAATTCAAATTTTTATCTGAAACTTTTTGAAAAACTTGAACTTAATCAAACAAAAGCTACGTCGAGAGTTACCGTCTTCAATCGCACTCTTGCAGCAAAACATTTATTTTTCATGCATGAATGTACACAATTTCTCTTTCGGCATGATTATAAACGACGAAAGGAAGTAGCAAATTCGTTGGGTAAAAAAATGTTGGAATATACTAAAGAAATCTTTGATCAACACTTATCGATTCTAACCGGAGATGAAAGTAAGATATTATACATGAACAAAGATGCACAACTGTTGTGCTCTTTGTTTTAAAATACGATGTAATTATTATTATTTTCAATTTTGTTTTATATAACTGCCATAAATAGATAGTACTTTGCGTATTTGGACCAGACCCTGATTTTAAATAATGAATATTTGACTGGAGTTATCGAAATTGCATGCATTCTTAAACTGTTAATGTATACAACGTAATTTAGAGATGTAGGATTCAGTTACTGTTATGGAGATGTGTCCAATGTCACTAAATCCGTGACGAGAAGTAACTGTATGAAAAAAAAATGAAGTCTTCTGAATCTTGTTAAGTATACATTTATTACCATCAATATCCCAATGGGATAATAAAACACATTCGATGTGTGCAACGAATGCTCGAAAATTATCTTACTTCGAGTGCTCGAACATCACTATAGGGTGAATCCGTGGGGTTTCTACCACTTTTT